GATCTTAAATTTTGTATTAATRATCAAAACACTATTCTCTTGGCATAAACAACTATGACGAAACCTCCCAGTGAAAACACTTTCCTGGAAAACTGAGCAACTTCCGGGTCTAGACAGAGGTCTAGAGACGTTTTCTTTGGTCGATTGTGCAGCAATAAAAGAAAAATCATTTAAGAATAAAAACGGACTAATGAACCTTAAACATTTTATTTGGACATTTTTTTCAAAAAAAGGATTCATCGTTGAAGATTAAGGCTATTGTCAACCTTTGTAGACGCGCAAAATAAATTTTAGCTGAGACTACCCCGTGAAGGTTGATAGTAACCTTAAACGCAGTTCTATTTAAAAGGATAAATTGTACTTTTCCTCTGAAGGGTTATTTGATTCTGTTTGTCGGTGAAGAAATCATCTTGTACATCGACCTGTGTATCATCTCGTCAACGCGTAGTAATTCATCTAATTGTCTAGAGAGAATAGTCAGTTGTTGTCCTATTCATTCTGTGCTATTCTAAATGCAGTGTTCGATATTTTAAATGCCCATTGAAAAGAAACCATCTATTGCCATATTCACCATCGTTTCCCGATCACTAATGGCTTGACTAGGCTTCTTTACCGAGAGTTTGCCTGTAGCAGAGTTAAAAAACAGTCGCTCTTCATTACCACCAGGATTACTGTTATCATCAGGGCCTTTTTTCATATGTTCCTCGACTTGTTGTTCTTGCGATGCCGAACTCATACTGACTTCCTATTCTGGAACTTCTTGAACTTCTTGGCGTATATAGGCTTGATAACAAGCAAAGATTATCCTCACTTTACGGTTACTCTTTATATTTGTAGATTATAATAGTCCAAATGGATCTTTGAGATATTGTGGCTTAGAATGACCAAAATATTACACCCACATTCCACATAAATATGTCTTCGTGACGAGAATATCGATATTTCTTGGAATAGACCAGTTTCGAGTTTCAAATTACCGCTGTGTTCCTTGATTACAGAGACACGGCTTAAAAACGCGTGCGCATGCGCGAAAATCCGAAAAATAAAATGGCGGACGCTATCGCAGAATTTGTGCTTCAAAAACCTGCGACTTTGAATAATTTTTACAGCTTACTGGCAACCAAAATATCTAATTGATCNCTTTCCTGGAAAACTGAGCAACTTCCGGGTCTAGACAGAGGTCTAGAGACGTTTTCTTTGGTCGATTGTGCAGCAATAAAAGAAAAATAATTTAAGAAGAAAAACGGACTATTGAACCTTAAACATTTTACTTAGACATTTTTTTCAAAAAAAGGATTCATCGTTGGAGATTAAGGCTATTGTCAACCTTTGTAGACGCGCAAAATAAATTTTAGCTGAGACTACCCCGTGAAGGTTGATAGTAACCTTAAACGCACTTCTATTTAAAAGGATAAATTGTACTTTTCCTCTGAAGGGTTATTCGATTCTGTTTGTCGGTGAAGAAATTATCTTGTACATCGACCTGTGTATCATCTCGTCAACGCGTAGTAATTCATCTAATTGTCTAGAGAGAATAGTCAGTTGTTGTCCTATCCATTCTGTGCTATACTAAATGCAGTGTTCGATATTTTAAATGCCCATTGAAAAGAAACCATCCGCTGCCATTTTCACCTTCGTTTCACGATCACTAGGCTTCTTTACCGCGATTTTGCCTGTATCAGGGTCAAAAACCGATTGTTCTTGATCATCATCAAGATTACGGTTATCATCAGGGGCAAAATTTTCCATATAATCCGCGAGTTTTTGTTCTTGCGATGCCGAACTCATACTGTCTTGCTTTTCTGGAACTTCTTGAACTTCTTCAATATTTCTTGGAATAGACCAATCTCGTACCCAGAGGCCAATATTAATAAGAAATATTGATATTCTCATCGCGAATACATATTTATGCAATGTGGGTGTAATATTTTGGTCATTCTAAGCCACAGTATCTCAAAGATCCATTTGGACTATTATAATCTACAAATATAAAGAGTAACCGTAAAGTGAGGATAATCATGCAAATGTTTGTCGAACCACGCTATAGAATATAACGTTGACCCTCATGATTGTCCAAACGCGTTATAGATTGTCAATGATTATGCTAATAGCACTAATGAATTTTCACTTTTGGGTAAATGATTGTCTATAAATGCAATTGTTTGTCATTTGGTGTTATTGAAGTTGAATTTCGCGCACAAGAAAATACATTCCGCGCATATGAATGTACAAACGCGCTATTGATTGTCCATTGGTGCCCATGAATGTACACGCATATTCAAATATCGTTATTGAACGTTGATCCGCGCTAATGATGTTACTTGTGGTGTTGATGAAAGCACATTACACGTTATTGGTGCGGCTATTGGCACAAATGAATGTACATTTTCTGTTAATGAACAGCAAAAGGTGTAATTGCTTGTGCTATTTTGTGAGTTTTTAACACGTTTTTTTGAGTTCAAATGTCACGACAAATGCAAGAGGGATCGGCCGCCAACTTGACTCGCACTAATTCTCGCGAAAATTTGCTTAAATTCCAGTCTCCTCATCTACTTCGGGTATACGTACCACATTCAATCCACTTATTTCCTGATATTTTTGAGTCTGTTAGCAATTTTATTTCCGGAACGACTCTTTCTATTGTTTTTTCCCGGACCAATAGGAATGCTCAAAAAATCGGCCGCCGCCAGAGCCTCTCGTTTCTCGGTACTGACCAAGAGAAACGTGGGCTCTGGGTACGAGATTGGGATTAGTTATCAATATTGACACGGTTTTCTTTGTTATTCATAAGGCTTTATTTTTATTACAACCCTCATAAACAATGGACAAACTTAAAGCCCGGGGAGGGAATTGAAATGCAGCAGGGAAGAGCGGGGCTGATATGAATTAATCTGATTGGCTCATTATGAATCGAAGGTCAATATATAGTTATA